TTAGCTGTCACCTGTGCTTCTCAACTGATGTCCAGGAATTAGGCTGGGATCAGAGGCTCCACCCCCATTTTATCCTAGGGTAGACTGAGGTCCAGGCTACCCAGTGCCCCAGCCTAGCAAGGCAGCCTGTTCATAGGATACATGTCAGCCCCCTGCATGGGACCCATCAGGTCAGAGCCGAATGCCCCACCCTCTAGGCCCAAGGTCCTGGTCCATGGGCTCTTATTCCCCACCCCTCATCCCAAGTACTCACCCCTGAGAGGCTTCTTAGGGCAAGTCCTGGCTGTAGAAGCCTCTCCTGTGGGCCAAGGATAAGGGAGTAAGTCCTTCAGGATGGGCCATGCCACTGCGTCCCCACAACCCCAGTGCTATGCCCAGGCCCTGGCACAGGGCAGTTTTCAAGGCATGTTGGATAAATGGGCAAAAGACCCAGCAGCAGAAACCCTGAGCCCATATTGCTGTAAGTCCTCTGAGGGACCCAAATATCCCTCACTCTCCACTGTCCCCTGTTCTGAGCCCTAGGGGGCTGAGGTGCCTCAGCACTTTCAGATAAGGAACCAATTCTCTTAGCAACATTCTTTGGAAGTCAGGGCATTCATTCAACAAACATTCCCATTTGGAAGATGACAAAACTGAGACAATCCAGAAAGAGAAAGTAAGTCATCTGATCAGTGCTAATAATAGCTGACTTCGGACATGTTATTTAACCGCCCTGTGCCTGTAAAACTGGGGAAATAATATGACCTACCTCATAAACGTAAAGTGTTTAGAGCAATTGCCTGGCACAGACTAAACAGAGTAAATGATAGTGATTTGTTATTTAATTAGCATTTGGTCCTTACACGGTGTATACATGTAGGGTGATATATATGTGTGTATATCATCAATCCCAGGTGGAAGGAGGCATCATTATCTCTTAGAAGTCATGCAGCAGAGCCTGAATTTGAACCAGATATTGCAGCTGCAAATCCCAGGATTCATGGCCCTGAGGCTACTCTGCCCTGAGCCCAGGTGTCAACTCACCTGGATGGTCAACACTTGGACACCCTTCATGCCTTTGTGGACTGGAGCCTGCCCTCCCTTGAACCATGTCCTGGTTCTAGAGTGTGTGGAAGGGGACAGGGAACATCCATAGCGTCCCAGGCTCCATCCTCACCTGACAGCTGTAGGGGCTGTGTGCTCCTGCTGTGGCGCCCAGGCCCAGTGTGGCAGACCAAGGGCTCCCATGCTGCCAGCTCCTCAGAGGGCAGGGAGAGCTGGGCCAAGCTAGTCCAGGTGCCATCTGTTGCTGGGGAAGGGCCGTAGTTGAAGGCATCCAGTGCACTGCCATTGCCGGCTGAGAACCAGATGGGGCTGTGAAGGCCGGGGGGTGCAACATCGAGGACCAGGCAGACCACCAGCATCTGCTGCTTCCCATCCACCAGTAGTGTGATTGGTGGGGCCAAGGAAGGGAAGGGCGTGCTGCCCACACCTGCAAAAGAGTATCCACTTATGGGTGCTAGCCCAGTCTGTGCCCTCCCAGGCCAGCATCTCATTGCAGGCTAGGGTTCTGGGTTTCTATCTTTATATCTATCTTTCCACCATCCACCTACCTACCTTCCACCCACTTACCCATCCCTCCCCACTTGCACTTACCCATCTAACCACTCTTCCTTTCATTCACTCATCTATTTATCCAACCTTTCTTCCATCAACCATCTATCCTCCATCTATTCTTTCTACCTTCCATCTATATGTCTGTCCATCTACTCATCTATCCTTCTGTCCACCTGTCTATCATATCTGAGCCCCTTTCTGTGCCAGGCACCAGAGATATGACACTTGGGTAAGTCAAGGAGCTCAGTCCTATAGGAAAGATGGCAAATGCATAAACAAACACTTATAATATGATGGAGTGCCAGCCTCAGAAGAGTGGTTACCTCTGGGGAGGAAGGGAAGGAAACAGGACCAGGAATGAGATCAATGGGGGCTTCAAATATTTCTGAAACTTTTTGTTTATTTAAAAAAAGGCCTTGGCCAGGCGCGGTGGCTCATGTCTGTAATCCTGGTACTCTGGGAGGCCAAGGTGGGAGGATTGCTTGAGGTCAGGAGTTCGAGACCAGACTGACCAAGAAACCCCATCTCTACTAAAAATAGAAAAATTAGCTGGGCATGGTGGGACCTGCCTGTAGTCCCAGCTACTCGGGAGACTGAGGCAGGAGGATCGCTTGAGCCCAGGAGTTTGAGGTTATTGTGAGCTAGGCTGACGCCATGGCACTCTAGCCTGGGTGACAGAGTGAGACTGTGTCTCAAAAAAAAAAAAAAAAAGGCCGATTCAAATACGACAAATGTTAACCCTTTTTTACTCCAAGTGGAATGTGCATGGGTATTTGTTGTGTTATTCTCGGTTCTTTTCTGTAGGTCTGTAGGTGTTTGTTTTTTTTTTTTAAACAGCTTTGTTGAGATATAATTTACATACCATACAATTCACCCACTTAAAGTACAGGTCTATTATTTAATTATCTTAAAAACTATGTCATACAAAGTACTGCAGACATTTGTCCTATATTTTCCAGGATAGTCCTGATTTTCAACAATC